CGTCGGACCAGCGCGCGACAGCCGGCTACGGCGCCGCCATTCAGATGCCAACTTCAAACGGCGGCGGCGCGGGCGCGGCGCCCCTATCGGGCGCCGGCGCGCGCGCGCACACGTCGCATTGTTGTCCCCCGGCGGTGGGCAAGCCCGGCCGGAGACACGACAGGGGATCCGTGACGGGCGCGCGCGACGCCGGCCGACGTCGGCCAGGCGGACGTTCCAGTGTCGGGGATCTGTGTACGCGACCGCAGCGGCCGGCGGCGTCGCTCAGTGCTGGCGCCCGAAAGCCTCTGCTGAGACGAGCTGAGCTGGAGAGTCGGACCGACCGTTCGCCCCAGTCAGCCACTTCTCCTGTTGGCACGTCCGCTCCCTTGCAGCCGTGAGGAACCCAGCCGCCTCCCTGCCCGGTGTGTTACCTTCGCCCCGAGTCCAGCAGCCTCCCCGTCCGGTGCGTTACCTCCGCCCTGAGCCGGGCCGCTGCGAGCCTGGCTGGCTCCTCTGACCACGCCGGCCGCAGGGCAGCGCCGGTGGCAGCGGGCGGCGCCGCGGGCCGGCGGTAGGAGGCACGCTGTTTTCCGGCGCCGGCAGACACCGTGAAATGAGACACGTCCGGACGACGCGGCACCGAGAGAGCGAGAGAGGCGGGCCGGGCGCGGCGGCTGCTTACGCCACGGACAGCGCCCATTCATGGTGGGGCAATCGAATTGGGGCTGTAAACGCACCGAGAGCCTGCCGAGGGTTGTGTGTGAACGTGTCGCCCCGCTGTATGGGGCTCACGTCTCCACTCGGTTTATGGAGCCATTAGGCCTTCCAAGGAAGCCAGCCTTGGACGGCGACATTAAGACATCGGCACCGGCAAGTGTAGCTGGCAATGATATACATAAAACCTTCAGCATGACATTTACATCCCAATAAAACCCACCGCCAGTGTGTATGATTCAGTTGGCAAGCCGACCAAGGCGGCCGGCGGCCGAAGAAAGTCGTCCCCAAAGTCGGTCCGACGGAAATTCTAAGGCTCGTTACGGCGAAACGCAGACGCAAGCTTGTCCAGGACGAGTGCAATTTACTAAACCAAAATCGCATCCGCGATGCCCATTTTCCAATATCCATCGGATTGGAAACCATTCGCCCGCGGCAAATTGGTGCTGCATAAGCTGCTTATTCTCTGAAATTTTCCTGCGCCGGATTTGTCGTCTGAGCGAGTCGCAGCGGCGCGCCGAGCCGCCATTCCCACGCAAACTCGGCGGCCGACAGCGACGCCTCACGCGCCGCCGGCGACGCCTCGCGCGCCGCCGATGCTCCACAAATTCCCGCGAAGATTGACTCCGTCCGCGGGGTCGCATTACGGCGCATTGCTTATTCATGGCGGCAGCTGGCGGGGGTGGCCGGTGGCTACCTCCGCCGCTGAGGTAAACAGGCGACGACCGCGGCCCCGAGCGGCCATCGGCCGGGAAGCTCCGGCAAAAACGCGGCCCTCGGTGGTGCGGCCGGCCGGCCGCGCCACGCCGGGGTGAAAGCGGCGATGGGGTCGGCTGGGACGGGCCCTGCTGGCCGGCTCTGGACTGGCGGCAGTGGGAGCTGGTGTTGTGCGTGAGTCCTCAGGCTGCCCGGCCAACACACAAGGCTGCGAAGAGGGTCATTCTTCTCAGAGCAGCAGGTTAGCTGGGAGAATGCCGATACCGCCCGCACGCCTGCACCCATGCGCGGCGACTTGTTCCCCGCACCCGGAGCCGCAGCCCGCCCGCAGCCGACGGTGGAGCCGGCGGTGCGGCGGGCCGGCAGGCCCAGCTCCGCCGCTGGCGATCGGTCGCTCGAGCGCCGCATTGCTATGCGGGCGCCGGCCGGCGCGGCCGAGCTCATCAGCCACCGGACGGGTCCGGAGACGGACGGCCAGGCCGTGACGGCCGCGGGCGACCGGCGGCGCGGCTCGCCGCTGGCCCGTCCGTGGCCGAGCGCCGGGCGGTCACCAGCAAACGATGCAACTGCGCCGGCCACCCGGGACCACCACCGAGCGCCGCGAGCGCCGCTGGCTGCCGTGGCGCCGATCACCAGCCAACGTCGCTCAGACCACGGGCCAGTGCCCCACAGATCACAACCTTACACAGTCGCGGTCACAGGGCGGCGCCGTTCAGCGCCGCCGAACAGCGCCGCCGAACGCCGCTTGGGTCACACGCAGCTCATGCTGCGTGTGACCCGACATCGCAAGTAAACCCAGCATGCTGTGAGGACCCATGACGGTCGCCACCGCTGTCCGTGGGCGTCGCCGCGTCGGTCCACCGGCTCCAGGTCATGGCGTCGTGGTTCGTGAGGGTCACGAACACCGCCGACCGTGATCTGTCACGAGCTCCTGAATCACGGATGTTGGCGATCGGTCCACCGCACCGGCCAGCGGGCCGTGCGCCAAGGCACCGCCGTCCGATCCGTCACAGCCAATGAAGCGCTGCGGCCCAGACCGGCGCCGAGATCACGCCAGCCGCATCACGAGGTGTTGACTCACGGTCCGGGCGCCGGCTGCGACTCAGGAGTCGGCGCCGGGCCGCCGCCGCCGGGGCCGGCGCGCCGCGTCCCGCGGGATTGCAGCCGACAGCCGCCGTCCGAGCCAGGCGGCGGCGAACGATGGCCGCTGCCGGCGAAGGCCGGTCGGGCTGCTGGCAACAGCTCGCCGCCGTGGCCTCGATCGCCACTCCGCCCCGGAGCAGGGCGGTGCAGACGGGCCTGCACGGCCGCCCCGCTCCTGCAATGATTGCGAGTATCGCAGGGAGCGACAGCGGCGCGAGCTGAACACCGCCGCACATGGCGTTCACGACCGGCCGCTGCCGGCCGGCGCCCAGCTGATACATGTGTGTCACTCGGCAAGCCTGCCCCCGGCCTGCCGAGTGACACACATGTATCAGCGCCGACCCCGGCGCAAGTTTGGTCAATACGCATGAATAGTTTAACAACGGTCGGCCTTATGGCCCTGCTTAATACAGTAATGGATCTCAGAGCCGACCCACTCGGCGCAGTGCACCCGCCGCGTTTATGGGCTCCCGAACTCGTAACGAACGGCGCGCGCCCGACAGTTCCCGGAGCGCGTCTTCGTGACGCTCGCCCTGTTTGCTTTCGGCGGCGGCGAGCACCGCGGCCGGCGCCATGGTCCCGGCCGATGGCGTGCATCGGCGAGCCCACTACGGGCACTTACGGGCGGCGGTTCATCAGCGTCGTTGAGCCGGGGTTTACGACGCTGCCCTATTGTAGGCGGTGTGTAAACAGTCCGCCGCCCCACACTTGTCGGTTGCGCTACCGGCCGTGGCCGGGCACGCGGGGTGTGCGATGGCCGTCCGACAGCCTCGCCAGATCGGGCTGGCGTATTATCCGCCTTCGGTGGCGTCGTAAGCCGCCTAGAGCCCGAGTGACAGAGCATCTCTGCCCAGATAACATCCCCGCTTCAAAGCGAGCATTCACCTACGAAATAAAAAGCGTCCGCCATCTTAGTGGTCGTTGCATCAACTTGTATCCAAGAACGAGAACTCGGGACATAACATTATTTGCAAGCGCATGGTGCATCGCTGGCACATGCAGCGAGCGCCCGCCTGCCGGGCACCGCCCTAAAAATCCTCCTGCTCCCCAGAATCCCCGCACAGCTGAGATCAGCGGCTCGCGCCTGCACGAGCTCCGTGCCGATTACGGGTTGGCTAGCCGCCGCTGGCCGTACCAGCTCCCCGGCGATCAAACGATCCCCGCCAGCGGTCCGGTGTCGGGTAACCCCTATCTATCGACGCTCCCCACCTGAGCCGGGGCACATCAAAAGGGCTGACATTAGCGCCCGCTGAACTCGAGATCTGGCGCGGCGGCCGGACGGAAGCCGGCGGCACTACGGCTTATTCCCGAGGCTGGCGAGACGCCGGCGGGTCCGGTGGTGTCCGATGTCCGCGGGGGGGGGGGGAGACGTCCCCCCCCCCGCCCGTGAGCGGCCGACACCGGCTGAAAGGCGGCCAAGGAGGGGAGGCGAGACGAGGGGACTGGCCGCCCATCCGCCCGGGGGGTGTTTGTCGGGCGGGCGGGCAGGCCAGTCCCTGACGGTGGGCTGGCTGCGAGCGGACCGGCGCCCAGCTCAGGCTCACGGGCGCCGCTCACCTGCATCGCGTGCCTGCGACGCCAGCTAGACATCGGCGGCCAGGAATGCAGCTGGTGCCGGCCCTCATGGGACGATTAGCACTTACGGGATGCACACGGAACGCTATTATGGGCCGGTGCTCGGCCTAACGGGACGCCGACGGTAACCTCCCGGGCGCCGGCCGAGAATGCAGAGACGTCCAGGGCGCTCGGAGGCACCGGGCATCGCTCGACTCGCATGCCGTGCCGGCCCGCAGTACCATGACGTCATCCGTACGCCAATTAGAGAAGCTTCATTAGGAAAGCGCTTAATGCAGTTTGTCAGTGCTGATGGATGAAGGCGGGGAACTTTTGCAGTGCAATTTGCTATTATTAGGTTCGGCTTGTCATTTTATATTACTGGCGCTCACTGTCGCCGGGTTTGGCGGGCGGTGCGTGGCAATGTCCAGTGGGGCGTGTGCAGACACGGCCGTTACGACACGCCAGGCCGACGCTTGGCATGTGCCGTAACGTATCCGAATCGGTTACGACACGGTTCGTGGTTCGAGCGCGTGCTTTGAAGAAAGTAGAGCGCTGATTTGAAACCAAGAACAAACCCGACCAACTCCTTTGAAGCGAATGCGTTTCACACAATTTGAAAAACACTCGTACGCGAATTGTATAAAGCTGACATCAATGATTGCAATAAACGCCACGCTCTTCGGGTGCTTTGAGCTCATGAAGTTTGATTTCTCACGACAGACGTTAACAGTCCTTACGGGGAAGGATCAAATGAAACATTCTGTTCAGATTTTCACCCTCACAAATCGACGCACAAACACATGCTTACACCCCACTTCCGAACAAAAAATGCACAATGAGACAGAACCATCAACAAAGCAGAAGAAGCCAGCGAACCATTAACTTACCTGGCGTGGCAACCAAATAAATACGCGGGCTCCGACAATCGCTATCGCAGTTTGCGTCCCCCCGTGCGGCGCACTCGTAAACCACTCAACAGATGTCACTGCCGACGACCCCGGCTCAGGCCGTCACCGCCTCCTCAGCGTCACCAGGCTGCACTGGCGAGCGGCAGATCGTCGCACGGCTGCGGACCACCACCCGGAGCGCGCCCACTGCTGACTGCCGGCCGGACGCCACCAAACCATCTGCTGCTCCTACCTGGTCACGTGGTCGACGCCGACCAATGGGCGCGCGCGCCGACCGCGCCGCCGGCGGTGGCGTGAAGGCATGCCGGGCGAGGAGCTCGCGGTGAGGCGAATTCCTGCTGGACGAACGCGGCATTCGCGGCGAACTCAGCTCGTGCGAGCTGGCCATGGCCGTCCAGCGGCCGCTGGCCGTTCCGGAGAGCTGGGTCCCCCCTTCCCCCTGGTCTCTGCCAGGCGCACCCCGCGGACCCTGAGGACGGACCGGACCTGGTCTGCTGCGACCGAGACCACCATCGCTCAGGCCGCCGCCCAAGCCCACACGGCGTTGCTGCCCTCTCAACTTTGATACAGTGCGTGAAAAATGCTAGCAACTGCCATGACATGCAAGACAACGTGTATCATGATAAATTTTGCGTCAATCTCAATGTCAAATGACCACTGGCGACTCTCGTCTTCGCGGTACTTCTGCACCGGGCGACAATTCGCAGAGCTACGTCTGCACTGAATGCCATTTTGATATCATCTGTCCTCGCTACTTGCATTTGTGCCTAGCCAAAGATAATCGTATTTTATGCTAAGCAAGTGTGTTTGCCTGTGCTCACCGTAAATGAGACAATTAGACAGTGTCCGAAACTTTATACCCTTTATTGGGTGCTAGATAAACCAGGCTTTACGTCGCCTTCAGTTGAGATGTTATGCATAAGACTGGACAGATGAAACTGACTGTGACATCCTTTAAGTGGCATTTTATTTGGGCAACAACGCATAAGATCATGCTATTAGTGAAGGACATCCAAAGGTGAATTGTTTGGTGGACAAGCTTGCTACGGAATGTTTAGGTTCATTTCATTGCATCAACAATTTTAACAATTGAATGATTGTTGGCGCTCGCTGTATGTCTTCTGGGACGTAGGTGTTTGAGGTATTGGAGGACTTATGATCACTTCATTCGTTTTTCTATGCACCACTATAAGGTTAGTCGTAAATTTTCCCAAGCGATGAAGGAGGATCGAACTTCCATAGTCCTCCCCCCCCCCCCCACATAACCTAATGGCTCCTACACCCATGCGTGTTTTCCCACGGTTTCAGTACAAACATCAGCGAAAAGCTCCCGCAGCCCTCGTCAGGCAACGGATCGTTGTCCACTAGACTGTTCTCTCTGAACTATGGAAGAACGATGTATGAGGGAGGGGGGAGGATATACTTCTAATTTTAGCAGAATGCATTGGCGCATCGCGTGTCTGAATCTTTGGAGCATGCTTTGCTAAGATCATGCAATTGACACCTTGTGAATCGAGAGGTTTCACACAATCTTGATGCTATTCAGCACTGTTCAACAGCTTATAGGCGACGAATATGCATCCTTGCGAATATATTATTCGTAACTTTGTAACACGTGCCCATGCGAACTCAGAAACCCGTGCTTTTGAAAGTAATTGTGCCGTTCAGCCCCTTTAATAATTGCTTCTTTATTTATGAGCCCTAAGGCCTCATCATGTCTGTTTTCATGAAACAGAGTTTTCAAAGCTAGCGGACGTATTTAATTGATGTCCATTCTTCACCTCTGAGATTGTCAGATCCCTACACGCGCGTCACGACGTTACGAAGTCCCTGTAGTTGATTACCCATGAGCTGCAAATTTACTGGATTGCTTAGTGTCAAGAAAATAAACAATTTCAGCACCAATCCCCTGCTCGGAGCCACAGTTTAGATAGAGGTCTGGAAATTAAATGGGATTCAGAAGCACGTTGCATAAAACTTAAAAAAAAGTATTTCATCTATTCCCTGCGTTGAAGCAATAGTTTATAGGATCAATGCAAATGCATCCTGCTTGAACAGATGGTGATTTGTGGTATTTTGAGCATTGTTTTTCTGACTGCATAACTTTCAAGCACACAAAACAAAATCAGAGGGCCGCCTTGTTCAGATAAAATGATAGGAAACAAAAGGCGTTCACCCTTTTCTTTGCGTTTAGAAATCGGTCAGTGTGTGAACTTTGAGCCAGGATCAGTCTGTTTTCGGACGGCATCAGCATCCAAACCGGTATGAGCTTGGACAGCATTTTGGCATTGCTCGAAGCCGATATCAGGAATTAAAAATACGCGTCAGCCAAGCCACCTGTTAGTGGCGTGATGCGCTGCTCAACGGAAATTTCTAAACATATTATGGTGGCATGGTAAATCCGTGTAAAGACACATGACGATTGCTAAATCAATCGGCCTAAACTGAGCTTAGCCAGAGCTTTTGCTGTTATTTCAATGCGAAGTTGAAGTCTTCATGGCTGAAATGTGCTGGGATATATTTTGTGTAACTAGGCATTATGTAATTAGACAACCGTATCACGTCCTCGCACTTGCATCCCTTTTCATTGCCAGCCGTGAAAACATCACACTCAGCTTCAAAAATATTTTACTGCACCAATGCCAACTTGGATTCCATTAGCGTGAATGTGGCGTGTGGACGGTACGTTCCGTGTTTTGTACATCCGCGTCTGTATCAGTTGTCGGTCCTCGCTAAGTTGCTAGCGGCCCCACGCCGCTTGCCATGTCTCTGGCGATGATAATTACGAAACCTAAGGAGTTCTAGCGCCTCATCATTGTTTCACAGTCACCGGAAGCCTTCAGCTCATTCGAGATCAACTCACCCGCACGTTTCCTTTACAATCGAGCATGCTGTGTGATATATAACTCAAACTATATCCACAGAGGACACAGGCGAGACTTAAATAGGCTTACCATGCATGTCCTCGAGGGACATAGGGCATGCACCTAGTTATATGCACAGTGACACTCACGGACAGCACTCACAGTGAAATGTAAGTCGCCAATCGACGTGTCGTGGCCAGCGGCACCATGGTGACAGATATCACATAGTTGTCTGCGGTGTTGAAGTGCTGCAATGTGTGTAAAACATCAAGCACGACTGCCAGTAACATTGACATTAACCCCACATTCAGCTCGCTTCGCGGGGTGATGATAACGCGGGCCATCAGACATTGGAAGTTCCCCGCAAGCTCAATGTTTTAGCCAAGGATGCTGAATCTTTTGTCTTTTTCAAGATATTTTGGATCTTTGGAACGCAGTTGGTTGGCATGGAGCGGACGCTATGTATGTAACCTAGCCGGGTATAGGTCTTGCATTGGTCACTCACACGGTAAAGGACTTTGTATAATCTGAGGAAGCATGCCCCGACTTCAGGAACTGAGAAAGCGGACAACGTGCACGCGGCATATTGCCGGACATATTGCTATTTGAACACTGGCCTTTCCTCCCAATTGCTCACATTCGCTGCCATTTTTGCTCCGGTCTCTGCGGAACATCATCGAACATTTCTGATGTGCTACGCCAGGTTTTGCCACGGCCGCCCTGTGATCAGATATTACCCCTGGTGGGCCAATGCACCTCCGCATGCCATCGCCGTATGTGTCGTCGCTGCCCGACAAGCGACCATATTCCGCCTTCGGCCTCAAGTATACGATTATGCAACAACCTGGTGATTGTAGTTAAAACAAAATGTTGATCCTTCTTGGACTGTTTGAGAAAGTATACATGCAGACCAAGTATTTATTTCAAATTTAGTGCCACCAGTGGAGAAGGTTCTTTTCAGACACTGCAGTCTGAAGGGACCAGGATTACAATGTGAACAAAGCTGCCCTTTTTTGACGGCACTGTAACAATGAAAAGGCCGACTGAATACCAACAAGTGATAACATGTAATGTTCAAAACGTTTTTACCAGTAATTCTTCGTTTCCGCACTTTTGAGTTAATGCTTTCCCTTCCCAGCTTAGATGTGTGTACAGACACCCATGTCCTTGACGTCATGCATATGGATCCATGTTGTGTCTTGGTGCATTGTAGTGGGCAAATCACATAAAACGATCATCGGACGCCGTATCTGGTGTTTCTCTCGGCTTTGCGAGTGCCCCTGCACTTGTTAACGTGAGTGCGTTTGCCAGCCTCCTGCTTGTGGGCTCCTGATTGTGACACATTTGTGAGCAGCGTGAACAGACTACCGTTTCTTGGTTACTGTCATCACCTATGCGTTCAAACAAGTCAATCCTATCAAAATGCAGTCTTTAGGGTCTTTCCATGTTAGCGTTATTATGCAGAGACCCTCATTTTACAGCCAACCTGAAACGCACGAACACTAGGATAAAACAGAAGCAAACCTGTGGAAAATCGTCGACTCTTATCAAAATAGCTACTAAATTGTACTCCGGAAGCGTTATTGTTTCGTCATTACGTACTTCATAACAACCCAGGATCAGTTTCATCGCTGTGTGGCTGTGATTGGTATAACTATCGGCGTCAAGTGCTGAAGCGTCGAACACAACGTTTATACAATGCCTTCCTTTGAGGCGATCTAAAATGAAATGCCGCTGACTTATAAAAGAGGTTAAGTTCTTGTACCCCATCACTGCGGCACAACCAACCTAATAAAGGTGTCCTCGTTATAATGCTACAATATTGCAGCAATGGTGACTAATCACAGCTGAACCGAAAGCAAGTTGATCATTTGCTTGAAACGTAGGCACGCTCCACGCTGCAGAAAGTCAGCTAAAGCCACCACACATTACGTCAGACGTGTTTCTGTCGTTGCTGTCGTTGCATACGCGATTGCAGGAGCCAGTTTCCTTGGAAGGCAGCTGCAGGATTTTTGTTTACCACCATAAACGCCGGTTTACTAAGAACGGGTAGCACTTCCTTAACTGGCAAGTCACGCTTCGTCCAGTCATCATCACAGGGGTGCTAATGAGACATTCCATTTGCTATCAGTGGAGTACGCGATGGCAAACGGAATGTTCCCGACGACTGGAATGGATAATGGCTTAATCAAATAAGTTAATGTAAGGCGCTAAAAACCATATATAGACACTGGTAGGTACAGATGTCGATCGCATGCTTTCTCCTCGATGCGCTCATTGTAAGTATCCTTCTGTCAATCTGTAGGTGATCGATTCA